GCATTTTTTTAAACCGATACATGCCGTCTTGAGTTACAAAGGTCGTTTTATTAATCGAATCCGGATCGATCGGGATTTGCCAAAATCTACTTTACAGATCCACTTTTCCGTAGTATTTGTTGCCTGCGCATGCATCGAGTACCTCGTCCGGATTCGGTAGCGGGTAATTATTTTTCTTCGATAGCTTATTCAACATAATGTAATTGCCGCAGAATCTTGTGCCCATTGTTCCGTCACCGTTCTTTTTCGCTGCCAGCACGAACGGAAAACTCCAATCGGCATCCGATGGCTCGATGACGTTCTGCGCCAACATCTCTTCAATGTGTTTCGTTATAAACTCTCCACCTGTCCAACTAGTTCTGGCGGGATTGCATTTCACCGGTTTTGCATCTCCGGTATCAATTACGTGGGTGATCCCCTTAACATCTGCGTACGGTTTTTTCGATGTCGGTAACACCTTCCAGAACTCCCAAAACGCATTGTGCACGTCGTGTTTCTGTTCCTGTGTAAGATCAGGTCCGAGTTTCAAATTTCCAATTATCTTGTTCAGTTCCGCTTTCGTTGTATCATCCACCTCGGGATCAAAAGCACGTTCCTTACTGTGCCGCTACTGATCTGGACGTTTTCCATATGATCATACGGCTCAACATAGCCGAGGAACTGACCTTTCATTACAACTTGTCGTTTTATGCTATGATTTGCAATGACCAGATCAAAGTGCTTTCCTCTATGATCGGTCACACCTGCTTACGGTTGGACGTCCTTTTCCACTTGGAAGACCGGTGTAAACATCAGCTTCTCATTAGGTGGTACGAATCGTCCCATCTTGACCTTTACACGAATGCAAACGGATGGGTTAAGAATGATCCGTTGGTCACTGTAGACTCGGACAGTTTCCTTATTTAATCGCATCCTTTGCACCTTCGTTCGTCTGATTATAATGTTCTGCACGGTTCCTCGTTCACCTCATCATCTTCGTCGAGGTCGAGCAGGTCCTCTTGTTCCAAAAGGTCATTTACACCGGAATCTCCTGAAGTTGTCGCGTCATCACTTGAACTCGTCCACTCCGAATCTGATTCACTCTTGCATCATTGTTTGCAGCATGATTAACTGAGCTCCTTTCGAGTGGGCGTTCATTAATTTCTTCGTCAGGTGAAAGGTCACCTTCGTCACCCTGTTAATCGCTAAGTTTTTTCGCTTTCGGATTTTTGAGGAGGGGTTTGCCCGTTTCCTTTGTCTTTTTCCCATATTTGGCTGCGATTCTTGGATGACTCCGTGCTACTCATACTCTCGTCGATGACCTTTGTTCATCTGGGTTTGATCTTTCGTTATCTGGAACTGTTCCTTCCAGCTGATCGATCTCCTCAAGGCTCAGTAATCGTCCGTTCTCGATCGGTGGACCTTCCTCACCGTTACCGAGTGACCTTTGGTCATCGTTTTTTGCCTCAAGTGCTGGGTATTTTTGCCCCGCTGAGATTTTTTCGAGCTCCTCTTTGAACTTTTCCCATATATCGCCTCTACTCGTTAGCATCTGTGCTATTTCATTAGCTTTTGGTGACCTTTCTTGTTCTGGTTCGATGATCTCCACGTCCGGTTCAGCAACCTCCTCATAGCCGGTCGGTCTCTTACTCCCGATAAAGACGCAATTTGCTTTTATGTCCACGGCTACGAGTTCGTTATTCGGAGTCATCTCGTATATGCACCACTTTTTATGACCACGTTGGGGATATTGGGCTCCATCTGGGACTGGTGCAAAGGTCACTTTCTTCTTCACCGGATAACCGGCTGGTCCGACTTCTTTTCGTTTCCGATAGACTTTTAATTCGAGTATGTCCTTAATCGGCAATGGAGGAAATTCTGCTTCCAGGTTTTTCCAGTAATTCTCAAAGGGTTCCTCTTTTCCTTTCTCCGCTGCCTTATAAAATTTTTCGAACAGCTTGTACACCGGTTTACCGAGCCCAGTTGGGAAAATGATTGTTGTCCCTTCCCCCTTGTAGAGGTGATTAACGCGGAAGTCCCAGAACAGATCGTTTCTGGCGTTTTCCCACATAATTCCTTCATCGAATACCTCGTGCATTTCTCGGTCGAGTTTCGACTGGAGCTGCTTGACCTTTGGGTCCACATCCCCAAAGTCCGCAATCTTATTATCGACGCAATCTTCCCAGTAATGTAAAGCTCTTCCTCTTGTTAGGATGAAGTTTCGGACGCAAGATAACCACTTCTTATATCTTTGCCAGTGGTACCGCTCGATGTGCTGATTCCGCATCGAGGCCGTCCGACATATACCTTTGACCTCCTTTTGGACATGACCTTTCATGTCTTCTGTCACGACTTGAAGGTGGCGTAATATCTTTAATATTAACCCGCCACTGAGGGCGCACAAAACCAACTAATTATCGGCAACATACTGAACATAGCAACACAAGCACACTGCTTCCGCAGTTGCCATGCTGGACACACAGGTCACAGCGGACACAGTATCTCGTGACATAGTGCCACTACACTACGCCACACTACGCCTGAATCGTGGATGGGATCCACGAGGGAAAGCAGGGCGGGAGGAGAAGTGCCGCACCTGTGGAGGCAGCTGGGAAAACCGCGTGTGTGTGGCGGACGAGTACCATGCTTCTGGAAGGCCCGTGACCATGAAGCGTCTGCTTCATGCCCAAAGTCCGAAATCTTATTATCGACGCAATCTTCCCAGTAATGTAAAGCTCTTCCTCTTGTTAGGATGAAGTTCCGGACGCAAGATAACCACTCCTTATATCTTTGCCAGTGGTACCGCTCGATGTGCTGATTCCACATCGAGGTCGTCCGACATATACTTTTGACCTCCTTTTGGACATGACCTTTCATGTCTTCGATAGCTGCATTGCACTTTGGCCATTCTGATAGGTCATCCTGATGAGTTCCCTGACAGCATTCTTCGCATTTCCATTGAGGTTGCACTCGACACGGATCCTCATTGTACCCGTGATGGCTACTGCTAATTCGTTCTTCCAGTGTCATTTTATCGAGGCAAGCAAACAGGTTGACGCTGTCGTCGTCTTTTTCGGTCTGCATTCCATATTCGGGGATTTTTCCACCGTGGTCGGACGAGATCTCGATGACCTTCGGTTCTTTTTGAACTTGATGACCTTTCAGCTGTCTGATCGCTTCGTTACAAATCTCGCTTGTAATTATCTGCTCATTTTCCGTTATCTTTTTCGGCGAAGCCCGTGACCTTTCGAACTTCTTATCGTTCCAGACTTTTGCAACTTTTATTCCCAGTGCCTCTGGTACTGGGATTGACTTTGCTAACTCCATTCCCGGCACGAGAGCTTGTTTCGCTTCTACGGCTGCTTCTTTTTGTATCGCTGCTATCTGTTCCAACGTTAAAGAAGTTTCATCTTTCGTCGTTCTATGTGCCTCTGGTACTGGGATAACGACGTTTGCCCACTGCGTCGGTTTAGCTGTTTTATCCAATCGGATCGCTATCTCTTTTTAGATGGCCGCCATTTGCTCGATTGTTGATGGCTTGTTTTGCTTTCCCGGTGCCTCTGGTAATGGGATAGTTTTTTTATCCGATTTGACTTTTGCAGCTCTGTTTACAAGTCCGGTGACCTTTCCGACTTGAACTTCGACAGTCGATTTCGGTTCATCTTCAACTTCCTCCTCTCCGTGGTTGTCAATTAATACGAACTTCTTAGCTAAGAAGTCGTATCCCAATAGGACTTGTACGTCGTCGGTTTTTGGTCGCACGTAGGAGGAGTGTTGACTGGTCCGTTTCCGTAAGGTCACAGCTGCTACGCAATAATGCGTTACAACGAAACCCGATGTGCCGCTGATTCCGTTTATTTTCACCAACTTATCTGGTGGCAGCGGTAAAATGTTGAGACCGTGTTTCTCACAGAACGGTCGACTGATCAGCGACGTTTCGGCACCAGTGTCCAACATCGCCATGACCTTTATGTCTCCAACTTTGACTTCATGTGTATAGGCATCGATCCTTTTCGGTAGTCTCCCATTTTGGACTTTGAGAGTCCGAACAGTGCACTTGACTGGAATCAGGGAGACTGTTCCCGGATCCATGTTGGCTGTTGAAGAGGGCACTTGCCCGTTCGCTAAAATGCTTGTCTTCTTCAGTCAGCATCGAACTCAAATGATCGATCCTATGTGATCCCAGTAATCGTTTTTGGACATCCTCGCTTTCTGAGGTACCTTCGGCGATACAGGTATCCACATGCCGTGATTTCCCTTTGGTCGATATGCCACCTTTTGCCAATTCTCCTTCCGCTGCAGCGTTTCTGCATCCTCAAGCGAGTCTTCGGAGACATGTTGTGCTCGTTCGCCTTCTTTAAGCTGCACTTTTCGCAGCGTCAGTTCCTTTTCCTGACCTTTTAAAACGACTTGTTTGTTGTGACCTTTAGCGGCTGCACTTGCTCCTTGATCTCTCACTTGGGCGGAAGTTGGTGACCTTTCGTTTTCCAGTTTTTTCTTCAAGTTCGCCTTTCGGATAATCTCATTTCGTTGGGCGCGCCGTTCTTTTAACTTTTCGGCGCTGCAATACGGTGATCGGTCCTTCCTGTTCACCGGGCCACTCGCAGTACCATTCTGCTGTGGCTTCGCAGTACTATTTTGCGATGGTTTAGCAGTACCATTCTGCTTCGCAGTTCCATTCTGCGCAGGTGGCCTTTTGCCCATCTGTGATGGCATCTTGTAAGCCATCTCACTCACAGTACCATTCTGTGGTGACCTCGCGGTACCATTCCGCGGTGATTTCGCAGTACCATTCTACGCAGGTGCCCCTTTGTTCACCTGTGATGGCATCTTATAAACCATCTCACTCACAGTACCATTCTGTGGTGACCTCGCGGACCATTCCGCGGTAACTTCGCAGTACTATTTTGCGTTCCTCCCTTATCCGGTGGTTTCGGTTCGGTGGGATCAGCAGGCTCACCGGCGCCTACTGATCTAACTCGTTTCCCAGGTCGGCCACTTGCTGCGGGTCCGGGACTTGCTCATTTTGCCGTCCAGGCCGGCGCCGTTCGTGCCGCAGCCGCCGTTATTCTGGCGCCGCCGCCACCGTTACTATTGGCGCGCCAGTTACCATTACCGCCGCCATTCCGGTTGCCGTAGCCGCCGCGTCCATTGCCGCGACTTCGTCCGCGGAAGCCTCCTCTGCCGCCGCCGTTGTAGCCACCGCCTTGCCCAATTCCTTGGCCGGCGCCGCCACCGGTCTGTTGTTTAAACTGGGCCCACCGGGCAACCAGATCGTAGCCGTTCGCTACTGCTTGTCGCCAGCCGCCTTCGTTTCGCAGCCGTTGCCATTCTCTGGTGGCGAACAAGTTCGGGTTCCGGTTCAGCGGCATGTTGGCGAACATGCAATTCTGTGCGTCGTGGTTTCCGAATCCACAGTTTTGGCACAGCTGCACGCCCTGGGCAACCCATCCGTCGATTTGAGAGAACTTCCATTCCGTTCTCGACCCTTGTTGCTGGTAGTTGCCCTGGTTACCGCGATTTTGTTGGTTCCCTTGGCCTCGGTTCCGGTTAAAGTTCTCGTTACCTTGGCCTCCATTCCAATTGCCATTTCCATTTCCGTTAAAGTTGCCGTTGTTGGGCCTTCCTTGCTGCTGCTGTGGCACCCCTACGTTCAGGGGGACCGGCATCACATTAGCGGGAGCCACATTCTGCATCACTGGCCTCGCTTGTGCCGAATGCCTGTATCGCAGCGACCAGTGCGTATGATAACGGCTGTCCGGTTTGACTATCGATAAAGGTCACTTCCTTCTGGACCGGAGTCGGCGGTCTCTGTTGAACCGAAGCAGCTGTGTACTGCCTCGGGGCTGCTTCAACCTGGCCCGAGCGGATAGTGACATAGTCCGGTTGATTTCGGTTACCCTGAGGGACCTTATATTTGTCCTCTCCGGTTGCCCAATATCGGAAGAAGTCTTTAATGTTGGTCGGCGTCTTCAGGTTTTGTTGAACCCGCAGCGCCTTCGACAACTCAATGTCCGTCTTACATCCTTCGATCAGGAAAGCGACCGCTTGCTTCTCACTGATGATCCCCTTCGCCTTGTAGATCATCATGGCCTGGTAGAACTGGTCCAACGTCTCTCTTCCGACTTGGAACTTGGTGTGTACTGAGAAGCGGCGGCGTAAGCCCTATTATTTGTGCAGACTTACATCCGGGTTCGGTAACCGGATTATTTGGCTGTTGTTTGTCAAGCAGGTGCAACGGATGGTACAGTAACTGAACCATCAGCATTAACCGCTGGGCATGAGGATGGTGGTGATGAGCCGTCAACGGGAAAAAGTAAACCGTCCCGTCGAAGAGGGATGATTAATGTTGACGAGTTTGAAGCCATGCTGAAGAAGGAGGATTATTTATCCCCACCGGCAGTGCAATGGTTTCTACCCGAAGACGAAAAGGTTGGTGATTTATGCAAAAAGTGGGAAATTGTTCTCCCACTTACTGGACAATTAAGCCAAGAGTGGGTTTAATATGACCTTAACGGTGGTAGAAAACCAGGAGGTTATGATCAGTGGACTCAGGCAGGAAGGAAGATTCCCGCCCGTCAAACGGTCCATCGGACCCTGAATGATTATGATCAGCAGTATGGCACTAAACTGCATGGTAAATGAATGCAGTATCTTGCCAACAAAAAGCCTGATCAGTCTGCAGCAAGTAGCAGTAAAGCTCGTCCATGGTCGGATGCGCAACAGTGAGGCAGTGAGCAAGCTGCAGTCAGTGAGGGCGATGCACTGTCTTTCCATGGCTTGAGTGGTACTGCGAAGGATACCGCAGTAGCTCAACACTTGGACCTGACAGAAACGAATAAGGTATTGGAGAAGATTAATAATGCTCTTGATTATTCAGCTGTTGTTACTGAAGACAATGATGATGTAAGTGATACGGAACTGGCTGCTGTAGATAATCAGCGTGTTAAAGACGCAGATGTTCAATACAGTATGAAAGTTGGGAAAAAAAGCGATGAGTTATCAACCGTTGCTCTGGTTGATCAGTTACGTAAAGAGTTGGATGCAGAAAGGGTGCAATATCATGCACTAGTTTTAAAGTATAACAATTTGGTCGAAAAATACGATGATAGTGCTGATCATCGAAAGAAGTTGACGGATGACGTAAAGTTGCTTACTGTTATGCGGACGCGAGATGCAAAGTTGACGCAGGACGCGTTCGAGCATGTAAGCAAAGAAAGCGAGAAGCTTCAACTGGAAAAACAGAAGTTTCAGTTAGAGAAGGAGCAGGCGCAAGAAAGTTTTCAACAAGGCACAGCCGCCTTAAATAAAAAGTATGCGAGTTTTTTGGCTGAGCAAACAGCATTTAATGTTGCTGTTGATAAGTGGAAAGTTGATCGGATTGATAGACGCCATTCAGTAAAAGATGACGTCAACTTTGTCCCGCATGTTGAAGCAGGTCGACGCAGCGTAGTGGTACAGGATATGCCTGAACCTGTACGAAAGCTGTACAGTGCAGTGCAGAAGCCTGCCTTTGTAGTCAAAGATACCCAGACGTTGGAAGATTTTTTGAACTTGCGCGAGTGTGCCCACAATATGCAGGAATGATTGGGTGAGTTGCGTAGTCCCTCACCAACGATTTCGGAAGTCAGTATGATTGCTTTGAGTAAAATGGAGGCAAAGGTTGCTGAACGTGATCGTCGTTAACAGGAACAGGTAGCCAAGGGCGGTAGTACTGTTTCCGCTTCATTTGATATGGAGAAGTTTACGAATGCTATGAAAGGTGCATTCAGGACTATTACAGTGTATCCTGAGAAGTTTGATGGGAAACAGGATACGAATAAGGTGGAACAGTTTATCCAGAGTGTGGATAACTGTAAAAACCACAACAGTTGGTCGGACAGTGACGTCATCAGTAAGTGCTTGTCGCGCTGCCTTACTGGCACGGCACTTACCTGGTACCTCGATAAGCACGATTATAATAAAAAGGTATAGTGGTCTGAATGGAAGAAAATGATCCGGGAACATTTCTCGGAAAAGAAAGATTTGATGGCCGTTCGTGATAAAGTTGCTGATCGCCATTTCAGTAATGACGATACACCGAACTCGTATGTGGACTGGTTCACTACGTCGTTCAAGAAGTTGGATCTGAACGAATCTGAACGTGTGTATTACTTGAAGCAGGGTCTAAAGAAGAACCGTTTCTTCTGGTTCAAGTACATGAAAGAGAAAAGAGTGGCAGATGTTGAAGAATTTCTGTCCGAATTGAAGCTGCAGTATAAACTGCGTAATAGTAACCCTGGTTCTGGTTACTCTGATTCGAAGCAGTTCACTGGCAGGAAGCCAGTTGATTGAAATAGCATTGCAGTTAAGGCTGTTAGTAATGAGGCGAAGAAGTCCGAAGGAAGTGCAGTTGATAATGGTAAGCAGGTGACCATTAATTACGCGAAGTGGTATTTTCAGATGGACAGCCGATATGTTTTAAATGCCATAGTGCGCATGTGGGAAAAAAGTGCACCAGTGCGGAACCTCGTAAGCCTGTGACAGCTGAACCACCGGATCGGGTGATTAAGGCTTACATGATGAAGAAATCGATGGGAAAGAGTCCCGAAAGTAATTGTTTGGGATCGTTTTCGATGCGCAGGCCGGAGGTTAATTCCTTTACAGTGCAGATTAAACATGCACAAGTTGTCCGAAAAGATAAAACTTGCATTGGGGCGATGCCGCCCAGGTTCAGTTCAGCTCGGTACTCCATCCGAAAGGGCGCTCGCTTTGCGGTGGGGGTGCTCAGGCTCGTGTGGGTTGGCGTCGGAAGCAAGTGGCAGTGCTTATGTAAAGCGCTTGAAGTATCTGATCGAGAATCCCTAATGAGTCTGGATGAAAGAGAGAACATGGAAGGATTTCATGTTTATCGTGGCATTGTGTACCGTAGCAAGGGCGGTAGGTACGGTAGACACCGCGTAGTCGTACCGGAAGCTAGCCGTCAGGACTTGTTGCGAGACTGCCATGAAAGCTTTCATGCTGGTAATTTGCATGATTATTGGTCAGTCCGTAAGTATGTTTTGCGGAACTATTACTGGCCTGGAATGAATGCTGAATTGGGAAAAATCGAAGCACAATGTGAGCAATGTAGCGCTCATGTTTAAGTTTTAGCTGTTACGTCGTTAGTCGGCTGTTCTCTTGTCGGTGGTGTACTGACAGTATAGCTTGCTTTTACTCATAACCGTAGGATTATTCAGCAAAAAGGGAATGCTGATTGCCAAATTATCCGAAAGTTAAACAATCTTGATGATTGGAAAAATTAAGTGCTAAATTTTAAAAGTATTGCGTTGTGTGCCGAAGCGGCTGGTGTGGCAGTTACGTGTTCTAACGCTGTACTGCGGTGCAGTGTTTGATTTCTGTGAAAATGATTTCAAAATCATTTTGATTCTGCAGTTGGAGCAGTAATTACGATTACCGTTTGATTTTGATAGCTGGATGTTTATAATCCAGTTGAGATTTCAATCGATCATCTGCGAATTATTCTTGGATGATATTGATTATGTTTTATTTGATTTTTATGAAGAACCATGCAATCGAATCGGTTCCTGTGAACTGTTTGTGATTGACTGTGTTTGTTCGTTTGACTGCAAGTGTAAACTTGCAGTGGGGGCAATTGCCAGTAATCAGTGGAAATTAATTATCCACTTTTATTTTACTGAAGATGCTGATTAATGAACGGTATTCATCCGTTTTAATCTGTGTTGTTGACTGATTGGCGGTAGCCAGTGTTTGTCAGAATGGCTGCCATTTCTAGGGTGTTTGGCCTGACGGTTTGCGGATCCTCGAGCTCTTCGGAGGGAGAGGATGGATGAAAACCTCACCTGGATACGAAACGTTTGGATGGTCCGACGACAAAACTGGACGCGCATGGAACGAGGAACTTCGGAGGACTTGGACGGAACACCAACTTCATCAACTTGGACCTCCATTCTAACCCCCGTCACACCCCGGATTCCACACGCGGATGATGAAACGGATCCCCCAGGATTACGGTACTTTCCTGGATTTGGATTTTCTTTGATTTTGGTTTTTGTTTGTTTTTTTGCTTTGATTAACGCGGACGTTAATTCTGTAGCAGTGGGGGTAACGCGCTATGCGTAGTTTGCGCATATTACGTACGTGTTATGACGTACGTGTTATCTGTTCTGTTACGTATGATTTGCTGTTCTTATCTAACGCATTTGATCGCTAATTGCATCCACGATTCTGGTCTAACTAATCAGTCTGAAGTTTCTAACTTCAACTAAATCTGTGAGCTTGTTTCTAGCTGAAAGGTCGTGTGACTCTAGGTTAGAAGGAAGTTCATATCTCGCGTTCTGTTCTGTTCTGTTTGCTTGTTCGTTCGGTTTGGTGATAAAACATTTGGGAAGTTCCTTAGTGTTTCGGTTTCGGTAACTTTCGTTAGGCACAGCAATCCGCTCGTACCTAGCGGAAGTAGGCATTAGTACCACTTACGGAGTCCAGAACATATTCCCACTCTACCGATTGAGTAGGTTTGGTCATCTGTGCGGTTGTCGCGGTGCGACTTCCGCATAGCATGTCAATATTCTGCCACCGGCAGATCATTTTCCATCATGGACTGCCAAAACTTTCATGCATTTTAACTATTGCACTTTGTTGATGCCGGCAATAATTACGAACAGCACGATAGAGTTTCCTTGTTAAAAATTCCCTGTTAAACGTCATTTTGTCGGTCGATCTATGCTATGCAATTTACGTTAGACAAATACAATCAAGCCGTTTCGGCGGCTTCGCCCACATACATCACGCGTATTACGTAAGACCGTAAAAGAAAAGCGGCTTAAATTTGCATATCCGATGCAATCCCAGGGGATCAACTTTCACTTGTGATAATCGATTATCGCGACTCAATTCAGCTTTTAGCGTTTGTAAGAGTAGTGCGAGCGCATATTTCGTAAATATTGCTAATTAATTTAAAAATGTAATAAATATATGCTGTTTATTTTTATAAAATAAATTATAATCAGCATTTGGGTGAATGAAAAATTACTCGACGAGTACAATAGCTTTTATTTGGCATGGTAACATTTTTTGTACTTGTACTGCTCTTAAAACACATTGACTGCATCAGTCTGCATACGTATTACACTTATATAATTTAATTTCCTAACATTTTTGAATAAAATGGATTCGTCGACTGTTAAATTTTGACCATTTACGAAATCTGTTAGGTGCAGATGATGCGTTGACGTATTTAATCATCAAGAATTGAGTGAAAGGGAAATGTAACGGTGTCATCCCGATACCTGATATCATGATTGTTTTGATTGACAGTAACGGTGATGGCCTGTTTATACTATGGATTGTACGCCTGGAACTAGCTAAGAGCTAGAGTTCCATGGGCATCTGCTCCGGCACCGTGGCCATTATTCTGGGCGCCCTGCAGATCGATGCCGGTGCCATCCTCCGCAAATCATCCCGCGCCAACGTCGATGACCGGTTCTGTGCCATTAAAATGCTGAACTGTTTGTCGGCACTGTTTGCTCTGCTGGTACTGGGCATAAGTGTGTACCTTTTGTACATTCTCATGCAGTGGCTAAATGTGGAGGACGAAATGTACCGGCGCTTTCAGAACGGTCCCGTGGCCGTGGGCGTGGTGCTCAATAGTGCGCAAGGGTTGGTGGCCGTACTGGAAGTGGTGCTATCCATTCTTGGAGTGGCCATGCGTAATTTCTGAGGAACGGAAGATGTGCGCGCATCCTCTTGAATCTTTAACAAGTTGTGATCAATGATTTATGATACTCGCTACACATGGATGCTTTATTATGTTTTAAGACACTGATGAATCTAGCGTTTGTACAGAGAAAAATACTTATGCATATCGCTGACCTTTGGATTACATGTACTTATACGTCAGTGCAAGTACAGCGTATACGTATACATCAGTGCAATGTCGGTACAGGTGTTTAAAAGTGCATAGGTTTACCGTAAGTTGTAAGGCACCAATTTCTGCTAGAACACCCGTTGGCGGAATTACAGTACGTGCACAAAATTACACATTATTAATTTTTAATGTGTATCAGTATACGTATGCAGATCTTGCCGGGCTGGAGTACGTACGGTAAACGAAATAATTTCATCGTCAACTACAAACTTTAAAAATGCGCCTTCCAATGCATGTAGTAAGCATTTTGCTTTCTACGAGATTTAGCAACATTTTAGTATATGCACTGAACGAAGACTTGCAGACTCTGTATTCACGCTTTTTAATCGGTAATCAGCGTTGATCGACACACGCACTAATTTATTACAAGGAGCCATAATTTTGCAATTTATTTGGCAAAAATCACCAATCAAAGCAGCAAATAAGTGCACTAAGTGATCACAGTTCTTGTAACTACGTACAAGATCGACACACCATTATTGCAGCAAACAGTCTAATTTTGTGTCAAATTAAAATTCCCGACTCTTATATAGTACAAATTCCTCACCGGTCAGTAAAATGTGAAAACCCGCTGCCAAAATAACTTTACTTTGACTACAAATATAAACTAATAGGGAGTGAACTGAAAGGAGTGGATACTTCCTGTCCATTACTGGGTGCCAAACCAATATTGAATAACCACAGATTAACCATCGCCGGAATGGGACTCTGCGGTACATCTACCGCACTGGCTGGAGCAAATGTCCAACTGACATACTCATTCAAACGGTTATTGTTCTGGTGCCCGTGCTGTCCACTGAACAAAATATTATTACTCCGCCACGCAAACGACTGCGTCGTATACGTCCCCGACAGCGCAAGATCAAACTGATAGCGGTCGAACTGAGGTCTGCGGTCGGCCGGCCACGGATGGATACACGGTAAAACTGGCCGGTTTCCCGTTAGCATAGCCCCATTTGGCGTATTCAATGTCGATCTCATTGGTCCGATCCGGACCGACATCGGGTGGCGGATAGTTGAACAGACCCAGCACAATGCTCTGATCCAGCCGGTCGATGGGACCTTCAATCTGGAACTAGTAGCGGCCGAAGCCCAGTCGTTGGATGGTGGCCACTTCCGCACAATACCAGCGTCCATTGCGCTGCGTGATTTTTAGATGTAAGCGACCTTGGTCGTCCAGGAAGGCGTTGTTCTCGTCCCAGTTGTTCGGTCCCGGACTGGTTCCGGTCTGGGTGCTGCGCACCGACCATTCTCTACCGGAAAAGGTCAGTGTCTTGCCATGGACGCTTTCGGTCAATAAAATAAATGCCAAACATATCGCTACCGCTTCTAGCAAGCTGCGTGCAGAGAACCGGGGTGAGTGTGCCATGTAGCGTTAATTCCGTACCAGTCTTATGAAATTTCTTAGTGGAACTCAGCTGAATAATTTACCGGCATTTTATACATAGAGTATACTCAGGCCTTGTCCCGAATTCAAAGCGAATCTCGTTATGGTACGGTTTCTCAACCGCACGAGGTGGCTGTATGCAGTGGCCACTCCTACAGATACGGTACGCGAAGCCACCTCGCGAGGTGGAGTTGCTGTATCGCAACAAGATTCGCTTTGAATTCGGGACGAGGCCTCAGACGGATGTTCGACGCGTATTCACGCTATCTCGCGCAACATGTTTTATAGTTTAGCTGGAATTTCCCAAAAATACCGGACTTTTACAACATATTATGCTAGATCAGAGAGTGATCCAGATACGGCGACCTAAACGGAATAGATCCCGTGGAGTGAGCAATGCGATATGTATTGCGAACTATGCGGAAACACAAGACGTCGCACCGCTGATTGCTGACTTTTTAATATTGAAAAGTCTGGAGAACAGAAAATCAATACTGATCGGCGCAGCTCGATCGTAAATCGTAGAGCCAATTCAACACTGTGCAGCACGTGCTATGCCGCGCCCACTAACAAAACTCAAGCCAATCAGAAGCGAGACACAACACAGACACGTAATCCATGGCGTAGCGCCTAGCGCCACAGGCGTGAACGCTAGTGATCCCTCGCCTCACATGCCTCTGGGGGGATGCCGAGCTCCGTTGAGGCCCAACACACTCCCGAATCCACGAAAAGACGGTGGTCGCCGGTGTCTGTGCGTGCTCAAAAACATCAAATTCTCTTAATCCATTTATCACATAATTCCAAATGCACAATGTGAAATAAAGAGATCTGTATCAAAATACTATTCCATATCAATTCTAATACAAAAACAGATCAACAGTTAAACAGATCAACAGAAGTTTTTAATCAAATGTAGATTAGGATCCTCCATTTCTGACTCGTAAAGGTCACAGGTCCTGTCCACCGTTTTCCGCACTTTGGCCCATTCCGCTCTGTTGAGCAATTCCGCGCATCCATAGTGCGACTTCATCACAATCCGCTTGAGAATCAGGTGCGTATCAAGTACGACTATGAGAATACTGCTTCAATCTTTGGAATTGGTGCGTATCAATTGTACGACTTAAAATGAGATCCATAAAGGTCATGGAGGGACGTCCGAAGGCAAGCGTGATTTGCTTCCTCCCTGGTAAAGGTCATCCTGTATTGAGATTATCCGTTGAGATGTGCGACTTGTTTTGGGTTAATGGTCCCAAAAATGTCATGCGACTTGAATTCCGATACAATGACTCTGTTGGGCAATTGATGATCCCAAAGGTCATCCGACTTCTTTTCAAACTTCCATTAAAGGTCATGGAGGAACTTAGCCGATTTTTGACGACTTTCAAGCACTTCTTCGCTTGCCTCCTTGGTAAAACTTTCAGTTTGACCTTTCCGTCGCACATCCAACTTCAATATGCCTCGAGCGGCCAGAGTGCCGGCAAGGTTTACCGTAGCATCTCCGATGAGGCCGGCTAACTACCACATTAAGTTTACCCCATGACTTTTCCACATTCAATCTTTTACTCTTGTTCGCCGCTTGTGGCCCAATTGTCACTTTATAACACTGAATCGCTTAAAGAGGAGAGCCGGCTAACTGCCGTAGCAACTCCCTTGGGGCCGGCTTTAGAGACCAAATCAATTTCAACCCCAATAGATGCTCCACATGATTTCTTTAACCTTTCTGATTCTGTGCTATAAACGCTGAAAACAACAATACACGAATACAGTTACTGTTACAAATGTCACGTCGCCCTTATACAAACACCATTTTTCATTTTTGTGACGTACCGACAAATGCCGTAGACGCCCTTTTAATAGTGTGATCCTAACGATCAGCACTATTCCATTTCATTTGAATCCTCCTCGCCATCTCTCGGCGGGCGCTTCTTAGTGCTTTTCGGCTGATTTTGGTCAGAAGTTCGGTCAACTGGTTCCATAGAATCAACTGCCATGACCTTTGCCGGGTCAACTTCTCGCTGACCGCGACCTTTCCCTTGACGACTTCGTTTGACCGCCTCGACTCGATGGCGTGCGTCATTTTCTTCCAACCGCAGTCTTCGATTATTAGGGTCATCTGCTAATCGACGTTGTACATCGGCGAGATTATCTCGAAGCTGCTGGTTTCGTAGGCCACGTCGTCCTATCTGGTTAGGAGCGCGTTTCGGGCGTCGATCGCTTTTATTCACCAGAAATTCCGTTATGTAGACGTCGACTCCGTCCACTGGTTCGACATAATCACTTCCCATGGTATCTTTAATCCGATTAATCCTCTCTTCCACCTGGGAGGCATGTCGCTGTGTAAGATTGCCCTTCTCCATTCGCGTTTTGCATTTTTTTAGCGCCTTTCTAGCCGTGTGAGCAATTCCTATATGTTCCATAGGCTCTCCCAGCTTCGCCACGTAAGGTCGGAAGAACGGTGGGATATCATCCTTCATGGTATTCGATACCAACTGATTCTGTGTCTTGTAATGTGCCAGCCGTGCAGCAAAGACTTTCTGCCCCATCCTTTTTGCGGCATAATCTTTAGGATCCACCTGTAATCCGATTGATGCTCTTGCTGCAAGCAACTTGAAAGCTGGATTCACGTATCGTAGAACGAACTGAGCCACATATTCCTGTCGTTCAGGATAGTCTGTGTAATAAAATTGGGTCATCCCAACCGGGTCAGTCGTATCCAGTGGCACATCCAATAAACTCAAATCCAGTAGGCTATGCAACCCATTCCGTCGGACAGGGAGATAACAATCTCTTGAAGAGTCACGGGGAATGTTTAACCGATGGAAATTTCCTTCTTCCACTCCCTTTTTAATTTCTTTAGCGTAGCCCGAATCAAGTAAGAATTGGCGCAGCTGGTTCAGATTTGTGCCAATCTTGCTAGCTTCAACCGAATTAGATTCGATTCCCAAATATCGACAAATTTCCACCGTTTGCTCATCAATATCATTCATGTTGTATTCCATGTCGATAAGGTCAGGGTGTCGGTTATTGAATCAAGAAGTCATTCGCCGATCACTTTCGCGACGATCATCCGGTTTGCGTTGACCTTCTTGTTCGCGTCGTCCTTCTGACTCAGGCTGCGACGGTTCATTACTTGCCGATGTAGCCGGTTGAAGGTCACTATCAAGAATTACGTTTCGTCGATGGGTCACATTCTCCTGGGACACTGAATCTGCGACTGAGCTGCCCCCTTCCATCGTGTCATCCTCTTGAACGGCACTCATGATGGGGTCCACCACGTGGACTGTTGATTCCAGTCGCTGATGCTTCGGAGGTGTTTCTTCCCGTTCTGCGCTCGATGACCTTTTGCTTGCACCACACTCAAGGCCCGCGTAAAACGCAGTTCTCTCTTGCCATCTTTTATCATGTGGGTCTGGTGTTCGATTCCGCGTGCGCTCTCGTCTCTTGTCCCATGACCTTTCCGGTGTGGACATTCGAACGTTGCGATTACAAAACGCAACTCCCAACGGCACCTGATGACCTTCCTTTTCAGGTTCTGTACGGTATGACTCCGTACGCCGTTGTTCTTCTCGTCCTCTTGTCGCTGCCAAAATCTTTGCTGTATCGATTTTCCGTTGGATGCTCGTTTCCGTTATCTCATTTCCATGGCGTACCCAACCTCTTCCGCCACGATAATCTCGGTCGGGGAAACGTACGCGTGACCTTTCCCTGCGGTAATCGCGTGTCCTTTCACGAGAGTATTCACGTGACCTTTCGTTTCGTCGTTCGGAAGTTCGTTCATTTTCGCGTGAATGTCCGCGTGACCTTTCTCTTTGCGGAGGCGATCGAGGTCGTGTAAACCCATCATCTCGTCTAAATCCTCTGAGTGCCTGCAGGACGTTACTCTCGTTTTGACGAGATCGACGCAGCTCCTCCATACGCTTTTCAACCTCCTTCTTGATATACGGCGCTGGGGCAAATCCCTGCTGAAGTCGCCGTTTCTCCCGGAGCAATACTTTAAACACATCATCTGGCATAGCGGCTGGGTCCTTCGTCAACGTTTCAATCTGGATGATGAGGGCCTGTTGTGTGAGCTGCGCCTCATCTTCATTTATGCTTGCTGTAGGTATGGCTGAACTCGACGAACTGGGCAGCGCTTCTCGTGCAGCCTGTTCGCTTGTCCGTTTATTCTCCGCTTCAATTTTCGCAAGGAGTTCATCTTCCAGCTGTTGCCGCTGCATGCGCTTTTGGTCCCTGTTGAACTGCTGACGATAGTCATCTGTTAAGGGATCCTTCGGTGGTTCCATTGTGACATCCCAGCCAGGTTCGTCATCTTTTATGGCCTGTCTATATCGGTCTTCAATCAACATTCTGTCCGGCAATCCCACATTCTGATAGTGTGTCTTAGTAATCAATATCCGGAAAATTTCCATATTGCCCCGAATAGCTTCTCTTGTTACAATCCACATGGGATTCTCCAGTCTTGTTGCGCACGCCCAACATGGGTATTTACCGCTCTTTATAATGTTATTCCGTTTACAGTCCGGACACCTCGGATTATAGCCCGTAGACTTGTCAATGTCAGATCCCGTTCCTGAACTTTGAGGAATGGCTTGACCTTTTTGTGCCATTTCTCCACTTTGAATCTGCAATTAAAACAACTCCGTCATAGTAATTTTCTCCACGATAATCTCTTCCTTCTTATCCGTTAACACGACTTTTCTATCATCCTTACGCCTATCTTAGGCTATTCCGTTACTGAGCTGAGACTTTCCTAGCTCGTGCTACCCTTTCTATCACTGTAACGTGGTGACCTTTCTCACGTTATTAGCGTTTCCTGACTACTGTGACCTTTTTCTGTTAGTCTTATCGTCGCTACTTCTCGAGTTGACCTTTTCACTTTCAATTTTCCGTAAAGCTTTTCTCTTTCGTTTTTAATTATTTTTATGCTTTTTCTGTAATATGCAGGGTTCATTACTCGCTGCATATTATACTCGTCCCATTCACTCAGACTCCTTCGCCGGCGGGTTATACGGTTTGAAGTCAACTCGTCCATCCTTATTAATATGAAGCGCTTCGTCTGCAATCAAGGCTTCAACGGCATTCGTAATTCATTCTTTGTCTTTCTCGATATTCAGTTCTCCCAGTTCATGATGGACAGCCATGAAATTTGAAAGGTCACCCCATGACGCTCCATTGGTACCGCCAATGGCGCCCAAAGCCACATCTGTGACGGCTATCTTCCAGGCCTCCAGCTCCATTTTAAGTCTGGGTGTGCGATCCTTGCCCTGTTTCGGAAGGTAGTAAATAACTTTGTTGTCCTTGTTATATTTACTTCCCAACTTTCCTTCCTTATACGCTCGTTTCAAGACTCGCTCGCTCATGCTGAGTGACGATCTTCCTTTCGAGTTTTCGGCGACTTGTCTTTTTAGTTCCATCCCAAGCATTTCGTGTTCTCTAGTACTCTGAATCGCAGCCTGGACTTCGTTCCATGTCCGGTTATTCACATCCAACGGTGCTCCTAACGTATAATCTGTCGCCTCCTTTGTCTTCGTACTGCTGTTTTCCGTTTTCTGGGGGGATAGTGCCGAGTCCGTTGGGTCCGCTTCTTCTGTCTCAACAATCTTTAACTTTGCCAACGAGCCTGGTGATGACTGAGCAGATTTCGGTTCAGCCGCTTTCTCTTTCTGTGGCAGTCTCATGACCTCCCACTTCACCTGCCAACTTCGATCGCTATTTCTCGAAAGCATCCTTCAATGGTACGAACAATGATCTCTGAAACACCTGACGCGCGGAGGCTGCTGCTGCTTCTGCTTCCGCTGCCGCTTTCTCCATTGGGAGCATGACCTTTTCTTTCTCCCCTTTTTGCGGAGCCTCATGACCTTTCGTTTGAACTTCTGCCACAGTTCCAGATGTCTCTTGGCCTTTGGACTGGTCATCCTTTTCTGTCGCTGGTTCAAGAGGCGTTTGTGTCGTAGGGTCATCGTCACTTTCTTCCGATTCCTCATCCATTGGTCCTTTCGTTTTTGACACTCTCGGGGCTTGTGCTTTAACCCGAGCGGCTTCTTCTTCAGCCCTTAGCTGTGCGATCTGATTCAGTATGGGAGTTGTCGAGTCTCCGGTCAATGGAACTGTGACCTTTTTCATATCCTGGCTTTCGGACATATGACAGTGGCCCTGTCTTTCCGGCGGTATCAGACCTACTCTCGTATATCTGATCAGCTGTCCTTTATGTGCATTCGTTGTCGAAAGGATGTTCTGTCTAATCATCCGCGGCAATACACGCTCGGTGGCCGTGTCAATTTCCTTTATCATCCCTTTTCCGTCGTTCCAAACGGCATTGATGTATTGACTGATCCGGTGACTCGTTGACCCCAACGGGCTTGTCATTCCCGCGATTGCCCTTTCTACTCGCATTGAGGTATCTTCGTTTGGAGTCGTCAGTGCCTTATCTGAACTCGCCGGTCTGAATAACTTAGCCTTATACGCAAAGTTAGGATGCTTCTGAATAAAGTTTCCCGCATTTCGAGCGAATTCCAAAACCACGTCGAACTTTTGTTTGGTGTAACTGCGGCGCATTTCTTTCTTCAAGTATGTCTTCAGGCCCGCTCTGAATTTAGATGTCACCGATGTCGTTCTTATTCGTGTAAAGTTTTTCTCGGCACCATTGTACGCAGCGATAATTTCGTCGATCGTAGTCAGATTGTCGTTGTCAGGATCGTCAAATTCGTCTTCAACTCCCGAAAAGTCAAGTTCGCTGTCACCCTGTGGCTCAGTGTAATTGGCCATCGCCATTGCATCAATTTTCATGGCCGCTTTGCCTTACTTTTCCGACTTAGCGGGTTCGCTCTTTGCTTTTTTCTTTTTGTCCATAGCCCCTGCTAGGCTTCTCGGTCTGGCCGTTTTCGGGTCTGGTTGTGACCTTGTGCTAACCGTTGAAGTACTCGGTAAGCTCACTTCTGACGCTTCTGATTCTCGTGACGTCTCTCGTTTTGCTTTTTCACGCTTTCCTTTCTCTCTACGCTCTTTCGGAGTGGATGCCGAGATGACGACCGGAACAATCTGCTTCACCGCTATGACCTTTCCTTTAGTTGTCGGCGGTTCATCAGTCTTGGCCTTGGAGGTTGCCGATTCGATTACGAATTTCTTCGAAGTTGTAGGTGTCGATGACCTTGCTTCAACTTCGCCAACTGTTTCATCAAGAATTTCGACATCGGGAGAGGACGGCTTGTCCTTTTTCTTTCTCTCTCCCGTCTTCCTTCCGTGACCCTTAGCTTCTTTTTCATCGCCCTTCTTCTTCTTTTTATCATCATCTTTTGATTCTTTTTTGCCGCTTTTCTTAGTCTTGCCCCGTTTCATAGCTTCTTCCAATTTATCTGCTTTTTTCGGCTTAACGGCCACTTTTGGAGGCTGGTTATCTTCCTCGGCTATCTCGTCCTCTTCATCTTCATCGACCGATTCTTCTGCCGAATCGTCGTCAGCTTCCTCCTCTTCCGAATCGTCCTGTTTTTATGGTCGCCTGGTACTCCCCGTTCCTGCCACTTCGGCTACGGAGGCCTCTGCCATCTCTCCGGCTCCACTTTCTTGTGCCGGGTGTTTGCCCTGAATTTCCAAGTGAGGTGTTTCTTTTGTCTGTCCCTGTCTCACAATCTCCCACAGAGGGTTCAGTTTCGCGTCGTAGAATACCGTTTTATACGATCCGTTTTCCATTCTTCTTGTGAGTCGGAAATGAGCTTTATCTATCTCCGCTCGATGCCGCATCATGCTGATCAGTGTGTTCGATTGGACTATCGGATCTTGATGTTCACTTTTTGGTATCAGGTCCCACAGCTGGTCGAGGGCTGTCTGGTTAGCATGTTCGGCGCTCTCTTCTGACACATCCCATGGGGCGTATGGAATCGGATCTCCTGTTACCGGGTCGACGATTACTGCGGTTATGCCGTCCATTGCTCCATCGCCAAAATGGAGTTTCAGCGTCACCTTCCTGCATGTTCCTTCAGTATATTTCAGGGTCGACTCGTAATCATCTAATGTTCGTTTAGCCGGATCTGGGTCCGCTGTCGGTTTTGGCCGGATTCTTTCTTTCGTGAACAACTTTCCATCCGCTGTGTGTGTGTATGCCAAGTGGTCGTCATTCGTGCCCACTTTAATTCGGATCAATGCGTCCTCTTCATTCGCTATTTTCGACACCACGTGTTTCATCATCTGAATAAGGACTCTCGGATTATGACGCTCTTCCGGGGGAATGAATTGTAACGCCTCGTTGACTTCTGTCTTTGACCTTTCCCCAATCTCAGTTTTGACTGACTTATCTGCAAGAGGATTGTATGAGTCAATCTCCTTATTCGTTCTTTTATCAACTATCCGAGCCGTGACCTTTCGTTCATTATGGTCTGTCCCGGTATATTTGACTGTGAAAGTCCTGCATTTCGGAAATCGAATCTGGTCTTCCGTTGTAGGTGGCGTGGGTGGAACACTCTTTCTACCCACCGGGATCGGGGCTTGTGGCTTAGCCGGCGGTGCTTTACTTGTTGTGACCTTTTTGGTCCGCTGCCCTTTCTTGTCATGTTCTTTTGGACTTATCGTCGGTGACCTTACTCTTTTTCCACTTTTTACGGTCCCGCTAGACGGCTCTGTAACCGAACTGGTACGTCCGCGTGCTGATCCTGCGGTTGAACTGGCCCGTGACCTTTCTGCACGGTCAGTTAATTCTGCATCAATTTTTCTCTTTGTTTCCAGGAGGGCACTGTCCGACATCTCATCAACTGGTGCTTCAACTAATGCCCGTGACGGCCCCGCCACGCTGCTTGTCGAAGGTCTCCTTTCTTTAGGAATCGTCTTAAGGAATCCCTGTATCTTCTCAATCATCGGCGGCCATTTTCGGTTGGTTAAAGCCGGATGGTATTGTTTCATCGAGGCGATTCTGATCGCTAACTCTTTACGTTGAACTTCAATGATTTTAGTTTTTTCCTTCATCGCGATGTGAGCTGCTTCAATGATCGCGTCCAAACTGATTAATCTTCCATAAAATGCGTGATCATCCTCAACTTGCATGTGAATTCTATAAAGATCCCGACACATTCGGTTGAAATCCTGGATGGCCTCTGTATCAGCCGCTGTCAATCTTTCTCCGTTGCTCACAATCACGTTCAATCGCGCATCATCTTCTCTCATATCCAGCGGAAGTTTCGGTGAGTACTCGTGCACGATTGGTTCACCCGGGGGCGTTGCCCGTAGACCATCTGGTCCGACCTGCTCCAAGTTTGGGCCCAACGACGGCAATATGCCTCGCGGTCGTGGTGAATCAAACCGATTTCCTCCTCGCCTCTTTCCTTTTTGTGGCGAGTTCCGGTGAGGTCGTTGCGCTCCCATTTGCTGCGGTGTTCTCAAACGAGGTGTTCCAATGTCCGACAGTGACAGACCTCCCGTTTCTGGAAAGGGTGGCAGTATCGGAGATGACCTTTGTGACTGCACCGGAGTCGCTAACATTCCACTAAATCCGCCCCATGTCCCATAAATCTACTCGGTGTAGTCTGTTGCGGTGGCGGCATCAACATTCTTTCCGGTCCCATCATCACCTGCGATGGTCCCATCGGTGGGGTATATACTCCTGGGTACGGCTGATAAGGGGCATTGTGCATCGGTTGTTCTGTATACTGGGTTCCGGCAGTTGAGCCGTGGTGCACCCAATTAACCGTATCTTGGTAATTCGTCGGCTGTCCCGGATCATGATACACATAATACCCTGGGCCACCATAAGCGCCTCCTTCGACTGTTCCAGGTTCGTTCTGTGCCGTTCCTACCGACGACGTCGACCCCTCACCATATGAGGTGTCGTACCCGTATTAACCTTCCATTCTTTTTGGGGTCGATGTCTTTAACGCATTTCCAATACTTTCCGAGTCAGAATTATCTGAATTTTGTCGTTCCAATCTGTCCATTAACTGCGCTTACCTTCTGTAACAATGAAACGGTATTGGTTAGCTTTATAACGGTGATGACCTTTTTACACCTTCCCAACTCCTATTTTTAGTGAAGTGAACCCCTTCTTCGTATTTATGTGGGTTATTTGTTTTTGCGTCCTTTAGTTATCTGATCAAGGAGTTCTTTGTTGGCCGCATCTTCAACTTCACCTTTCTGGGTCAGCAATTCAGTAGGAGTTAGTTTCTTTTTCTTCTGTTTAACCTTTCGGTCATCGATTGCTTTCGCTATGTCACGGCCCAGTTGTTCAGCTTTTGATTTGACTGCCTCTATTTCCTCTTTTCTCTTTTTTATGAGGTCATTCTCATTGCCGGCAGTGCGTGGTTCGAAAAAATTCGAATCGCGCTCTGATATCTCAGCGCCAGTTCGCTGTTTCGAAAGGTCATCCTTGTCCCCGGTAGCAGTGCGTGGTTCGAAAAAAGGTTTTTGGTTCAGTTCAAAATCTTTTTGTGAAGCGCGTCCTGCTACTTCATTATCGGTTCCCTCGCTGGTGACCTTTCTGTCAAATTCCCAGCTTCTGCGTTCAACTTTGCTGTAACGGCTGTTTCAAAATCTTTATCTTCTTTCCTTTTTCTTCCTCTTTTCTTTTTTGGTTTGTCTCCGTTTTTCGTATCAGGTAGCAGAATGCGTGGTTCGAAAAATTGACTTGGTCCATTTTTCGGATCATGCTCAGCTTCTTCCGCTTCGTTATCATCCACTTTTTCCATTTCGGGTAGCAGAGGGGGTTCGAAAAAGGGATCTTTTTGAGAAGTGCGCTCTGCGCCCTCATCCGCTATTTCCATTTCAGGTAGTAGAGGTTGTTCGAAAAAATTTGAAGTACGCTCTGGTACTTGCTTCGCTGTTTCCTCGACCGGTAATGGCGGATGCCATGGTTTCAAGCGGTCAATCGAAAATACCTTCAAATCCGCCTTTTTCTTTGGATTCTGTTCAATGACCTCTGCTTCATTTGTTCGTGGGTAACTGAGGATCTTCTATACTTTATCGTATTTCGACTTAAAGTCCGATTGGTTTTCTTTCTTCCCTTGTTTCGTGTCTTTAGGTAAACGTATCAATACAAGGTCGCCCACTTTAAAGTTAGGCTCCGATTTCCTCTTGTTGTAGATTTCCGCATTATTCTCGTATGCATCTTTGATATTGCACCTCGCCACTTCTTCTGCAAAGGTCAGATTCTTTTTCATGGTCTCCACCCACTCATCGGGAGTGCCATAGTCGTCTGGGATATTCGTTTTTGTGACCACATCTTCCGGCATTGTCATTTCTTTGCTGTGTAGCATGTAATATGCCGAGTAACCAGTTGTGGCGTGTACAACTCTGTTCATCGCCGAAATAACATATGGAAGGTACTTGTTAAGCTTCCTTTCATTTCCCGCTTTCAGATACTGAGCCAGGCCATCCGCAATCGTCTGCATCTGTCTTTCAACTTGGCCTTGACCTTCTGGATGATACGCCGTTCCAAACGTGTGTTTAATCTTGAACACGTTGGTGACCTTTGTCAACACTTCAGCTGTAAAATGCCGTCCACGATCCGTGTGTAGGATGTGCGGTGCTCCGTGTACCAATATTACATGCTTTACGAACACTTTTGCAAACTCTTTAGCCGTTGCCGTCTTCATTGGTACCGCAATCACGTTTTTCGTCAGCTGATCGATGAATACCGCTATGTACTTGTATCCTCGTTTCTTCGTTGGTAACAACGGTTCCTTCAGATCCGCGCAAACTCGGAAGAACGGATGTCCCACTTTGATTTCTTGCAATTTTCCTGGTGGACATTTCCTTGGCGTTTTGCGGAACTGACATCCTTGGCAGGCAAGTATGTAATTCTTTACATCTGTACTCATTCGATCCCAATAATAACGGAGTCTTATCGCTGATAGTGTCTTTTCGAATCCCAAATGGCCTGCCGCTTTCTCGTCGTGCAATGCGTGGATTATCGCTCTTCGCATTGACAACGGTACCACATATGACCTTTCAAGTTTCCCATTTTTATCCTTTACTCGGTACAGTATGCCATTCCACAACTGGTAATGAACTTCAAATTTCGATCTCGTTTCAGAATCTGGTAGATGTTCCAGTTCATCTATTATCATTGCCAGGTGGGGATCTTTTAACTGTTTGTTCCGCAATTGCAAGTTCAAGTCATCTTCTTCCTCCTCATCACCTTGCAGGTTAACGATACGAACTGTTGCCGTGCTGAGCACGTTCCAGTCCTTGATGATCTTACAGCGTGGTAGTGGTTTGTACCCCTTCTTCATCTGTTTCGGGAATCTCAGTAGCTTTATCGGACACTCGTTCAACGCCTGTGCCACTTTGTCCGCTTCCCAAAGGTCATCTGTATTCTCCGTTGTTTCAACAAGTCTCGTGACCTTTCCATCTTGAGCTTTAGATTTGTCTTCAAGCCCGGTGACCTTTAAGTCACTCACGGTGGGCAACCAGCTTTTTACTCGGTTCACTTTTACTTCGTTTTCAGCCGACTCATTCGCCGTAGCTGAAGTGACCTTTAAGCGTTTTGCTCTCTGTTCCACCATCTGCAGGAACAGCTGTCCAATTTCAATTGCCGGTTCTTTCGTGTCGAATTCTTTCTTATAATTCTCGAAGTTTGGGATCTCATCAAATTCTTCCTCTTGACACGTTGGGCCTTCAATTGGCGCTCTTGATAATGCGTCCGCGCTGTCGCTATATTTTCCCGGTTTGTATTCGATTTTAAACTGATGACCTTGCAGTGCCATTGCCCATCTCGTCAAACGCGGATTCATTCCGACTTTATTCGTCTCTGACTTTAGTAAGTTGGTCAGCGCTTGATGATCCGTTCTTACAGTGAAATCCGAATAATCGATAAACGGCTTGAATTTTCTGACAGCAAATACTACTGCTAAACATTCCCATTCGGTAACGCCGTAGTTTCTCGGCTCCATGTAAGACGCGACTCGCGTACGCAATTGGATGTCCATCTTGTGACAACACGGCTCCAATTCCCTCTTTGCTGGCGTCACATTCGATAACTGT